AACGCTCTTTTCACTTTCCAGACGACGCTAAATTGTCTTTCGAGAAGCTCAAAGACGCTATCTCCAACATAGCGCTGCTCGCCCATCCAGACACATCAGCACCACTCTCCCTGACGACTGACGCATCCGACACTGCCGTCAGTGCAATTCTTCAGCAACTCATCGACCGTCGATGGATACCTCTAGGTTTCTTCTCAAAGCGCTTACAACCTGCCGAATCGCGATACAGCACCTTCGGTAGGGAACTGTTAGCTATCTACCTAGGTATCCGACATTTCCGTCACTACCTCGAAGGTCGACATTTCACCGTCTTCACCGACCACAAGCCATTGACCTACGCAATCAATGGCGCAACGGACAAGTACTCGCCGCGGGAAACTAAACACCTAGACTACGTTTCTCAGTTTACGACAGACGTACGTCATGTCCCAGGTGCTGTCAATCCCGTCGCGGATGCGCTTCCACGCATACAGCAGATCAGCTTATCGCCTGGCACAAGCATTGATCTAGCCGCCATGGCTGCTGCCCAACAAGCTGAGCCCGACACAGACAAACTACGACGCAACGCCTCGTTAAAACTACGCGAAGTCCCACTAGCTTCATCTGAATGAACCATTCTTTGTGACGTTTCACAAAATTCTCCCCGACCCGTAGTTCCTACCTCAATGCGTCGACTAGTATTCAATGCTTTACACCACCTGTCTCATCCCCGCATAAGTGCTTCGCAGAAGCTCGTAACGGAACGCTTCGTATGGCCCAACGTCAATCGCGATGTCCGCCTTTGGGCACGCGCATGCTTAGAGTGTCAGCGCGCCAAGGTCTACAGACACACCAAAAGCCCACTTGGCGTCTTTCTTGCTCCTGACTTTTGTTTTGCACACGTCCATGTCGATTTGGTCAGACATTGCCAACATGCAAAGGCTAAGTGCACCTCCTCAACTGTGTACGCCGATTCACTGGTTGGTCAGAGGCGATTCCATTAGTCAACTGCTCATCTGAGACAGTTGCACAAGCTTTCTCAGAACGCTGGGTAGCTCAGTTCGGTTGCCCAAGCGTCTTCAGCACGGACAGAGGATCACACTTTGACGGATCCTTCAGCAAATTGCTAAACGTTCTTTGTTGCCAACATAACCGAACCACCGCATACCATCCCGCAGCTAATGGGATGGTAGAAAGGTTCCACCGGCAACTCAAAGCCTCACTCTGTGCCCAATCTAGCACCCTGGCAAGAAGCACTTCCGCTCGTTCTCTTAGGCATAAGAAACACGATTAAAGCGGACTTGCAAGCCACTCCATCGTCGCTAGTCTTTGGATGCGCACAACGCTTACCTGGTGAACTCGTCTCACCAAAAGCGCCAACAACTTTCGACTATGGCGACTACGCAGCTCGCCTATCTCATCACATGCGACAGCTTCAGCCTGTGCAACCCAGAGCACAGAGCTTGCGTACAAACGTGGACGAACGGTTAACTACTTGCACGCACGTGTTCGTTCGCACTGATAGCGTACGCCGACCACTTCAGCCTCCTTACTCTGTTCCGTACCGTGTCGTAGGTAGAAGCGACAAAACGTTTACCATTGACTACAATGGTAAGACTGAGACGGTCAACGTCGAGCGACTCAAGCCAGCATACCTTGACAAGTCTGACTCGCCGGTGCAACAAGCACCTTCACAGCCCGTGGCATCACAGACGGCACCGCAAACGCAGACGAGTCAGCCCGCTCCAGCAGAACCGACAAACACAACCGACAGCACTCTTACCCGCCCTACCCTCAATCGACGCGGTAGGAAACTCAAGCCTCCAGTTCGTTTTTCAGACTTTGTTAGCACTTATTATTTTACATAGAACGTGCCTTCGAAATTTTCTGCTCTTACTAAGCGTTTTTGAAAATCCACAAAAAAAGACCAAAACGTTTTGAAACTACCAAAAAAGAGCAAAACCTTTTGAAAACACCAAAACAGCTTTGCACATTTTTCGCTTTGCACTCTTTTGTGTATTGCTATGCATTTATGCTGCTTTTTCATTTTGCTTTCCATATATACCGTCGGTTCGTTGCACCTCGGTGTCTCTTTCCGCTGGATCCCCGCACGTCAACTGCAAGTGGAACGAATATCCTGTTCAACTGCCTACGTGAACTTTATTAACTGTCCCCCCACAAACAGTTTTTTTACCGTTTCGACACCGTAGGGAGGACACGGGTGGGAGCCCGCTATTGTCCGATTGCATGGTTCTCCCCCAGCCGCTGCATCGGGTTTCACAACCTGGTCTCGCAGAAGGCTGGCCCGCGACGGACAGTCCTCACGTAGATCGAAGAACTGCTTACACAGTCCCTTCTGGGAGAGGGCTATGTAGCAGTCTGGAGATTCCCCGGTTTGCTTGTGTAAAATTCTAACCAAAATTCTATAATTGTACACTTTGGCAACCGGTGTGGTTTGTTGAACTGATTGCTGAGTTCGAATGCTTTACTTGCTCATCGCCATTTTTGCTTGGCGCTCGCTTCAGTTGCAACGCGCAACTGCTCTGTGTGCTGTGCTTGATCCGTTCCCCTAACTAGAGCGTCCACTGTGTCGTTCTTTTATAGCCAGCTAACAGGGAATCTTTTGCTGAACCAATAAAAGTTTCCCTGCAATTCGATCTGTTATCTGGACTTGCTCTCTGGGCTCCCGGAATAGGCAACCCTCTAAACACTGCAAGGTGGCGTATGTGACTCACCACAAAATAAAGCCACGGTCAAAAATTCCACACGGACGCAGTCCTCAGCCTTCTACATCCAACCTGTGCAACTAATTCTACTACGAAGAATGCTTTGATGGAGCACATTTCATTACTATTTCGTAATGGTCGTTGGTTGCACCAAAACCTTGTTTGGGCTCCTGGCGAAATTACCCCCAACTTGTGTCTTGATGGATTTTTGCGCGCCACAGAGCCCTAAGGTTCCTTGGTCTGACTATTACGTGACAATATGCTCACTCATATGGACTACATCTTTTCTTTTATAACTTTCATTAAAACGAAATGTTTTAACATTCCAAAACGTCGTGCTTGTATGCATATTTGATCACGCCTTTACAGGTGTGTCTCGTTTTACCAAAAATATAACATTTATTTATTTATTTATTCAAAGCACTCATGTGGTGCAAGGGCAATAGTGGAGTGCGAGTAAGATGGTTTCAATTTTGCGTAGAGTAAATAAAAATGGCACGGTAGTTAGAGTGACGACGGTACATGAAGATAGAGTAACTTTGTTGTACGTGTCAGTAGAATAACAAAAAATGACTAGTCCATATTCCAGTGTGTAACTGTGGGCAGTGACTTTATTCAGTGGCAAGTCACATCCGCCACGTCACAGCGTTGATAAACGGACTTTTTGGCTGTATATGGGGGAACGCTTGTCAGGCGCAAACCCACCACGTCATGAAACACTGTCGTCGATTGCTGCGATCGGGCATGTGCAACTGGCGAAGCTGGTGATAAAACATTTGTTCCTTCAGTTATTCGCAGTCAAGCGACTCCTCTGTTGGCCAGACAAACGGCACCGTCGGATTCCAACTTGGACGTTGAAGTCAGTAGAGGAGGAAGTATGATTTTGCAGGTAAGTTGAATTTCCCGTGTATGGAGTCTCACCTTCTCTGATATGTATATTTGCCGGGGTGCGAAGAATTCGTGTCCAGCTACCCTCACTGGACATCGGCGGTTGAAATGTTGGGTGCAGATGGTTGGTTTGGAAGTGAAGCCATGGTCCAAGTAAGTCCTAATTGGTTATTTTGTCCCATCCCAGAAGGAAGCAGTTTCTTAGTACAATCCCGGATCTCTCAGATGTTCATGACATCAGAGAAAAGGGAAAGAGAGGAACAGGCCGAGAGAAGACCAGAATGGACAGTCATGGTACCAAGCATTGGGGAAATCCTACTTAAGACATTTACTTGAGACAAACTGGTGTATAATGTGTAACAGATATTACATCGCTGCTTCTTATAATTGTTACTCTATGAACTAAAACACCGTGAAATATTCTCTTATAATTCCGTTTCCATTTGTCTAATATTCCTACCAATTGGCTTACCTGTTGGGCTCTGGCTTTTCTGTCCTCCTGGGCAACTTCTATCTACGGTCCTCCAACGACTTATCTTTCACACTGTGGCTTCGCACTTTTGTGCGTAAGACTTCAGGTATATGGCTATGATGCATACCCTTAACTGATTCCGTCCTACTTCTTCACTTATCTCTTTGACCCTGGCCTTTCTGTACACCTATGGACTTCCTACATCTGATGATCCACCGACTCATCTTCCAAGCCGTAGATCCGAATTTATGCGTAGGACCTCAATTAGCAGGCTATGTTTCCCACTTATATCCCTATCTCAAAGCTGACAGTTATTTCCTAAATTTGTTGCTCTATGAATCAGCATCATTAAATATGCTCTTTTAATCCCGCTTCCATTTATCACATATTCCTACTACTTTTATTACGGTTTGGTTTTGGCTTTTCTCTCCCCCTAGGCAGAACCTTTGTAAGGTCCTTTAACGACTTACCCTTTAGGCTGTAGTTCCGCACTTCCGTGCGCAAGGCCTCGAGTATCTGGTTATGTTGCCTACCTATAACCTTATCTCGTCCTACTTTTTCACTGATCTCTTTTTCTGTTGCTCTTTTCGTCTTACGAGCCACCAAGCTCCGAGGCTCCACCGACTTATCTATAACACTTTTGCGCCGCATGTTTAAGCGGAGGACCTCAAGTACCAGGCTACGTTGCCCACTTATATCGTCATTGCCTAGCTGACATCGTTCTCTCTTATAACTGTGACCCTACTAACCACAACCCCATTGATAATCCTCGTTTCACCTCGCTTCCATTTTCTGTATAGTCCTGCAACTTTTCATACTTGTTTGGCTCTGGCTTTCCTCTCCTCTTAAGAACCACCTACCTACGGTGCTGCAGCTATTTATTTTTACGAGGTAGCTCCGCCATTTTTACTTGGCCCGGCATCCATATCTTTACACTTTTACAGGAATATAGCATCGCTGGATCCTCTTCTCTGTCTCACCTTAACTGTGGACTTGGTTTATATAAATCGACGCTCCTCTTTGCAACTGACAGTTTGGCATGCATGTCCAGTACTCAATTATGTATGGTCTGATTCTTCTACGTACTAAATCTCGAAACTTCCCTTTTGGTCATCAATGTCCATCGGACTTACTTGTGTCATCTTGGAGCTCTACCTTCGGGAAGCTCAATTGGTCTATTGAGACACCGCTGTTCCACTTTATTTCAGCGTTAGCGCAACTGCATTGCTGGCACCTCCACGGTTCCATTGCCGCAGCTTTAGATCTAATTACCCATCGCTGCAGTTAGGCAGGCTTTTTGCCACAACTGTGTACTGCACCGTCTTTCCTTTGATGCACTACTCCACATTTCATGACACCTAGTTTCTGAACAGGGATTCTCTATTTTCAGCTCCAATATTAGAAAGCACATACAAACAAATGACGCCTTAGTGTATAGATACACATATAAAACGAGGTAAAATGTTTAGCCAGGTTCGAGGTCGCCAGCTCTCCTTTCTCCTTTCTTTAGGTTCAAAATCCTTCCTTTCTGTGAGATTTTCTTCCTGTCTCCTGGCGAGACCGGCATAAAAGTAGCATCTAGTAGTATCTAGTAGTAGCTAGTAGGATCTATAAACATGACTTATAGACATACGTGGGCAATTCAGACAACCGCCTTGGGCTTTCTGTCCCCTTGATATGCATCATCTAGCTGTTTGATCGGCTGCGTTCAAATCATTTTCATCTTTGGAACACCACCTCAAGGAAGCATCATCTACCGGCAAGTGTGCAACTTACTTGCGATGTCATGGCGTTGTGTTCCTTCCACTTCGCCAGTGGATTAATTATTGTACCAAATCCTTCATATGATTGGCGTCAGTATCCGATGGATACGTCACCCACCACACCAGTTTTGTCTGCCATCAAGTTCAGGCCTCCCTATTATGGAAGCTTTTTGATGCGCACCTACCATTGGTTAGAATAATCGGGTTCAAATCATTATTACCACCGAAACACCACTTAAGTAGCCTCATCCCCCTTGCAAATGATCAAAATACTTGTAATTACATAGCTTTATACTTCCTCCACCTCGCCAGTGGATAACGTCTAAAAGTCTTTTGATCCGTATCCTTCATGGATCTGAACAATTTGGATCAAATCCTTATAAATTTCGGCATATCTGAAAAAACTACTTCACCCCCTGCAATTGTTCAACTTACTTCCGATCCCATGGCGTTATGCTCCGTCCACCTCGCCAGTAGATTACTTCTTCCTGCTACTTCACCACCTCGCCAGTGTTATACGAAGATTTTATGCCTTCCAGATGTATATTGTCTGTGGTCTATACTACTACGCTTGGCCATACTTGATTCCAAGGACCACAACAAGCTCCTCGAACGTTTGAAGCATACTCTTCATGCAAGCGTCCCACTTAGCTGCAGTGGTTGCTTCCGGTGGACCTATCAGTGACACACACCTGGCCCGTGAGTTATCTGCTCAGACAAGGATACTGTTTATGATGTGAGCTCCATACTCACATGAATAATGCAGCACCGCCATTTACACAGCTTATCTCCGAACAGTAGCGCTGTCAACAACCTTTCCTATGAATCCTGACCAGTAATTCCGCTGCGCCAACTGATAACCGGGTGTCCCATGACTGCGATTAGCTGCTCGGAATATTGGTCCTACAAAAGTGTTAGTATTTCAATGTTATATACATAGCGGTGAACCGCAGTGTATCAGGACGTGGTGGGTTACCTCTTGGCTAGCGACTTCCCTATACAAGCCACAAATGTCTGTT